GTTCAGTAATTCCATTTTCTCTGTAAAAAAGCCATTCTTATCCAATATGTTACAAATCATAATGCTGTCAAAATATCTTTGTAGGTGAGTTCATATTTGCAAGATAACCTCATGTTCTACAATGTTAAAACCCCAGAAAAGGTTGACATGTACTAAACGGAAGGAAAGAGTGACAGAACAACAGAACAACAGTTCTGTCAGTTTAAGACTGCACTGAAATAAAATCTGTGTAATTCCCTGTTTCACGCAACTCATCAATCATTAAACGTATTTTTAAAAAATAAACGTACAACATTTCACACACGGTACAGTATGTGGCAGCAAATTCATTTCCTCCTGAATCTTCATTGAATCAATGTACTTTATCATTTTCCTGTGTTATTATGTACACCTCACACGTTTGGAGCTTAGTGGTAGATGTGTATAAAGGAATTATTTGAGAGAAAGGCCAAAGTGTTAAACGACCATTGTTGGCGTTCGGTGTGAACATCTCATGATAAAACAACAGTAGACTAACAGAGATAAAACTTCACATGATTATTCCCACCATTTATTTGCTAAACGATCCAAATATAAGATAATTTATGTCTCAATCACTCGGTCATCGTTTCTCGTTCACTCAAAATAGACATCATCATTAATTTTTATGATTTAAAATAATTGCAATGTAAAAAGGGTGAAATTTCATGTGCTAAAACTTTATTTACATTACAAAGTTATAAATACTCTTTTCAAATAATATGTGGCAATGCATGTGCAAACAACACTACACAAATGAACGTATTTGGAATAATGCATTGGAAGGTTTATGGATAGCATAAATTGACATTGTGCTTTTCCCACAAGTTCGCATTCATTATTGTTGACAATGTAATAGAATGTAAGTGGGTAGAATGCAGTTCCATTCTGAACGAAACTATGGTAATATGTGAAATCTTACGATGTTCTATAAGGTAACACAATTTCATTCTCAGTTCACAGGATGTTTGTTGATTAATGCTTGTTATCGCATCACATACGGGCCTTAAATATATGGTGTATTGGTATGTATCCAGGGGTCATACCTAAAGCAGCAAAAGAAACGTCAGTTTGGAATTTCTCTTCGCAGAAACGGATAACTGAAAACTCATTTAATGTTCTGATTGTATGTTTTTGACAACATCTCCAACTCTACCTGAGCAAAGACATTCCTTCCCAAACTCAGAATGGAACCGAGGAAATGGTCTCAAAAACGCAACCTGATCTCGGAGATGGTACAGTGTTCTCCATGTTTTTCATGCAACTCATGCTACACGTGCTGTTCACAAGGACCAGCCCTATAAAATGCACCCCGAAACCAGGTTGAAACATTCACATTACAACGTCAGCAGGATGCCGCGACTCACGACAGCTCAGAGGAACCAGGCGCTAGGAAGACTAGAAGCTGCTTGCCACACTGCACAATCTACAAGCCGTCGCCAATCACTTCAGGCAATGGAGAACTGTTCTATTCACAGATGAGAGTCGGTACTGCGTGTCAACTGCAGATGGCGACGACGTGGCCAGCGTTACTCAGACCAATGTGTTATGGAAAGAGACTCATGGGGAGGTGCAAGCATCATGGTCTGGGGTGGAATAGGCCTGTACCAGAGAGTGGGTCCTGTGGTGTTCCAGAACCTTGGTCCAGGGAGATGAGGCGGCATCACAGTGGTGCGCTACATCGACCAAGTTCTCAGACCCCAAGTCATACCACATTTTTCACGTCACCGGCATGATAACGCCCGGGCCCATACTGCCAGAGCTACACGGAACTTCCTACAGCAGAATGGTGTCAACATTATGCAGTGGCCACCCCTTTGTCCTGATTTAAACCCAATTGAACATCTTTGGGATGAAATTCAGAGGAGACTGAATTATGTCATACCAAGGCCGAACACAGCCGATTTATTGCACCAGGCCTTTCTCAGAGTGTGGTTCCAGGTGCCAATGGCCTTCATCAACAGATTGGTGCACTCCATGCATTGACGCTGTGCTGCAGTTATTGCCGCTCGTGATGGTCACACTAGATACTGTCAGAGTTATTCATTGATGTGTCAAGATACTGGACACAAAAACATTTTTTTATCCGCTTATTATGTCCATTTCTGTAATAATTTGATTACAGTGCCTATCTAATTTTGAATTCGTACCGACGTTTTTATTGCTGCTGAGTATATGTTTAGTGGTGTATATTCAATGGTCCTACACACAGTGCAGTGGCACATGTACAGTTGGTATATCTACGATGTAATGCAGTGTTTAGTGGTCCTATATATGGTGTAGTGGTATGTATTGAGAGGTCCATTATGTAGTTTTATATGTATTTATTGGCCCTATACATGGTATCTATTCAATGGTTTTATATATGGTGTAGTGGTATGTACAGAGGGACCCTGTACATAGTGTAGTGGTATGTATTCCAAGTGGTCCTGTATATGATATAGTGGTCCTATATGTGGTGTAGTGGTATGTATTCAGAGGTCCATGTTATGGTTTCATATGAATTTATTGGCCCTATACATGGTATCTATTAAATGGTTCTATATATGGTGTGGTGGTATGTATTCAGTGATCCTTGTTATTCGATATTCGGCATAGGTTTGGTCAACAATTGTCCCCGTTTTTCTTTGTATTTTGCTACACAGATGTTTTGGAATAAAAACAAAAGTTTCTCGTTTTACATTGTTGTGTTTTCTTTCAAAACAACGCTAACAATGACTGAATATTTACATCGTATGTATTGGTAGATTGGGCAATGCCAAGAAAAGGAAGTATATTTAAGGTAAAAATAGTAATTAGATTTGTACTTCTTGCATTATACATCTTTGTTCTGTATTCTTCTTTATTATATATTCCAATAATTCTCAGAATGTCGTCCCGTTCATGACCATTAAAATTCCACTCTTCGTATGTCATCGTATTTCATAAACTATCCAGATAAGTCTCGAATCGTGTGGATGTTGCAGAACATTCCACAGCATGCAGCTGTAGAGATATGTTTCTGTGCCATTTGGCGTACTCGTAGGTGTGGTTGTTATCTGGCAAAATATATTGACTGTAATCAACATTTATTTATGTCACTGTTTTTATCATACAATGGATGGCATTCTCGGCAGGATAAAGCAAACGGATATTTTCGGTACCCGTTGGGGTCATATACGGATATCGATGCAAATTAGGGAGGTCATATTCGGATTGACGGTCGTGGTTGCGGTAGTGTCAGTGCTTTGATCCAAGAAAATTCATGTCTGGTTATAATGGATGGAGTGGATTACGAAGTGCAGATAGAAAGTCATAGGCTTACGAAGATACCAACACCAGTTCCCCGACCGATTGTCAGTGTCAGCGAGCATATGGCACAGGAGTCCAGGTGCACAATGTCAAGCGAACATCAAAGTGTACTTGTCGTTCAATTTGTTAATTGAAGGTTTTCTGAAGTCCACACAGGTTTGCTGTTATTTTTCAAACGTAAGGTAAGATTTGTTGACAACAATGCCTGCTTTGACAAAAAAACTAACTAGGAACTAGATGACCTAACGCAGTCAACTGAGTGATCAGAAGAAAATTGCGTCACCGAGTTTGTGTCGTAACGTATTACTACGCGCATATTTGTGACGTCATAGATATATGTTCTCATTCCACGAAGTTAGTTTCATGATTTGTGGCAATTGAAATCGCATTTTTTAAAATTATAAAGTAAGAATGACATTGTATGAAATATATTTTCGATATTCTCGTTATTGTTACTGTCCTTTGCAGACAACTAAATTGTCTAAATTTGTTTTTATTTAGTTAAATTTTCTTATAGTGATGATGTGACTGAAATACTTTCGATTTGACTTTGAACTTAACTTACTGTTTAAAGTATTTTATCATCAAAGCCAAAATGTCAACACATAACATGAAAAATTGTATTAATGTATCTGTGATATTGAACGGAATGTCCTTATAAAACGGGTAGGAAAGTTGTATTGCATTAATAGTCAATATAATTATAAAAAGGTTTGAAGAATACTCTGACGTTGACAACATGTTTTCAGTTAAATGCCCGAGGCAAGGGCTTTTTTTCAGAGTGATACCATACTTGTAGTTGTATCATGGATTCTTTTTTAGATTTTCTTGTGCTAATGAACAACTTTGTTTCGGGCCCTTATTAGCAGAATATGCCAACACACAATGTATCAATGTTTCCTTTTGCTGTTAATATTAACTTTTTAAAAAACAAACAAACAAATAACCCCAACAACAAAACAACAACAACAAAAACCAACAAGAAACGACGACAAACAAACCATAAACAACAACAGAGACCCCCCACAAAGTAACAAACAAAAAACAACAATAAAATCAACAACACCATGTTAATCAACATGGAAAGTAAAGTGGAAAGTCTGTTTTTGAGAAATTACGCAACACAACCCACACTTTCTCGCGAAACTTTCTACAGCTTATATATATTTCCAGATTTAAAAACATGGAAGACGTTGTGTCCATTTTCGTTTGATACACTTCCCTCTTCGAAAATGTCCTCCAGTATACAGATATGGTACTTGATAACTTTAAAAAACAATATGTCTTTGATGTTGCATGACATCATTTCCCTTCCTCTATCTCGTAAATTCCAAAGATAATAACTCTTGATCGGTCATAAGTAATTTTGGTTTGAAAACGTCTTTGTACAGGCTGTTTGAAGAGGAATTTAGAACTTATTATTGTTGAATAGCCAATGCAGGTTTTAATAAGCTCATTACTAATTTAACATTTCATTCTAAACGAAGAATTTCAGTGCGTTAGAACTGTGCGTTGTGTTTATCGTCTATGTAACCCGACTTAATGACATGTACTGAGTTATCGAGCAAATGGAGTATGGAGTATCAGATGGCATTGTCAAAATCAATACAGCTATAGTTATGGCTTCACAAACAAACGGCAGTTACATTAAATTTTGATGTGACGAAAGAACCGAACGAAAACGTATTTGGATTCAAAGAGAATGTCATTCTTGAACGTAAGTCGTCTTCATCACACGTATCGGGACAGCTGTTTATGAGTTTGTAAGTACATGTAATATCATTGAGATACACTTTCACGTACATAACTGAGTGTATATTTATTTATTACCCACGTGGTCAACGTATGGGTAGTTGCATATTAATCTCGTACGTCACACGAGTGTCGTATCGCGTTGACCTGTGTCGTAACGACTTGACCTGAAATTCTAACGATTTGATTGGATAACCGATGACCTCTCAATTAGGTCACATTCTGACGTAACTATTTTTTCATTCATAACAAACACGTGAATTCATTCATTCTACAACTTACATGCATTGTGGGAATGTAAACATTGCGAACGTTGCCGTGTCGCTGTTTAATTGTGAGTCGAACTGAGACATTATATCTGTCGAAAAACATAAACGCAATGTTTCCACCAGTGATGTCAGCTGAATGAAGCAACTGGAAACCAAGAAACGAGGTGCAACAGAGTAGTTTACTGTAGGAGGCTGTACGAGGCGATGACGACTGACATGCATCGTGACGTCGGTTACCATGGCAGTGACGTCATTAGTGTGACGTCATGCAAATATTGTACTACAGTACAAAACTCTTCCCCAACCTCTTTATGAAACCGGTTTCGGTTTGAAACCAAAAACATAACAAAAATACGCTATTTTGTCAATTTAAATGCATGTAAGACGTGGGTAATAAATAAAATACCACACTCGGTCTCATTACATACGAATTATACGTAACTCGTGACCTTCCTATGCTATCTGACCTCGCTTTCGCTCGGTCAGATACCATAGGAAGGACACTCGTTTCGTATAATTCGTATGTAATGAGACCTCGTGTAGTATTCTCTATGTATCATATGTTTGATTATGTAGCGTTAAATATTGCTATTATACAGAGGTATCACTGCTGCATCAGTCATACTCGAATTGATAGAAACATGTGAGATGATCAGTTTTTAAGTACAGTAAGAGCTTGTTTCAAAGATTAGTTTCACTACCAGGCAAAATGTCTTCACGAAACACCGCCTGTTTATGCTTGTTTTGTGTTATAATGAACGATATGTGTCAATATAATCAGCTCCGAACTGTTTAATTCTTTCAATATAATTTGTTGATCTTAGCCTTAAGTTTATTATAAAAAAAGTAATCCTTTCGCAAAAGAGTCTGATTACCTTAGTTAAGTTTCTCGTTTTGACTTAACACCTGATATCAGGTAATACCGGCTAGAAGAACAGATCATTCAATAATTGAAAATCAAGCCCATTGTTCCTGACTATAACATAAAATTATTCAAAAGATCACCACTTATATCAGCTAACATGTTTATGACTAACTGGCTGATAAAAGAAAATACCCAAATCTTAATAGTTCTTCCTTTATGTTCGTTATAACCTCATATAGCTAGAAGCTGGACCATGGCGCTTGTCAGACTTCAGCTACATCTGTCTCTGGTGCACTTCCTCCCCGCGGACATAGCTCCACCAACAAATGTGGGCAACGTGTTAGACTGCTTCAGCTCTTGCTTGAGAAACCAGCAGTGTGTCTCTCTGATTTACAGCAGGAACAACAAACAGTGCTACACCTATCCAGGCAGGCTTGAAGTTCCCTTCTGGGGAGCTGACATCAATACTGACTTGGACATTTACAACACCAACAGAGGTAAGGGTGATTGTCTGGAAATCTTCTCGAACAGGTTTTCGACTATCTGTGTCCCCAAAGGTGATTGAACTGACGTCATTAATTCCATTAGATACACCAAGATGAGTGAGTGAGTCAGTTAACATTTAGCGTCACATCGGCAATACATGTATTTCAGCCATATCGTGACGAGAATATTTTAATTTATATCAATATTAAAATCAATAAATTTAGAACGTAAAAAATCTGTCACCAGAGGACAGTAAAAGTCTTAGAGCATCACAGATATAAATTGAAAACTAGTACGCTGTCGTAAAAAATTAAATCACTAAGATAATAAAAACGGGCTATAGATCACCAACAACTGAAGGTAGATCACCACACTAGGGTCCATGGGGACTTACATCACTTTTGCTATCCGAACGATCGCTTAAACCATCAAAATTAACGTATCTTTTCACACGGAGACCTTGAATACAATGAGTTGGTATGATTTTACACGGCATTTAGGAATATCCAAGCAAAATAAATGCAGGAGAAATAGACTTCAAACATTGTACCCATCTGGGTACCGAATCCCCCGGATCTTCGGCTTGATGAACGATCGCTTTAACCATTTCATCACCGCCCCTCTGAAAACGTCTCTGAAACACGTTACTTTATAAAGTGTGCTTTGGAATACAGGGCTTTCTCAGTTTTTCTCTTATGGAATATCACAACCATGCTGAGCAGACATAACAGCATTGGTTCTCCAGCTGAAATAGGGAAACACAGATACTGACAATTTGAGGTTGTTGCTGTACATGCATAAAACATTGTAATCTAACTGAAGCTTATGTGAAGCCTCTTGGCTAAGTTTTGATTTTGCCAGTCTGAGGAGATATTCAGACGTGCATACATGAAGAAGCAGAAGAGGAAAAGGAAGAAAGGGGCGCTAATTCTCTGGTTATGCCTATTTCTTGCCTAAATATCGTACGCCCAAACACAGAAGGGGTTTTTCTCCGGAATTACATATCAGTGTTTGTTAGATTGTGCGAAGCCCCTTTCCGATGCCCGAGACCGAGTAAAAAAATTCAACCTCGTTACCTAGGACCTCGTTATTCCGCAGATCCTGTTTCCCCAACCTTTGGAAGATCTAAAATTACACATCACTCATTAAAAACTGTTAATTTATTCTCACATTCCGATACATCCTCAATGGCAGGGTTAGGAAAGTGTCACGGTATTCCCTGATGCTTCATTCACTCAGAGTGTCACCTGTTTTTATTTTTGTGTGTATACAATTTCCGTGGCTGTAATAGAGAATGTTTATTTCAGATGGACATCGTTGCCCAAGTCATCTTGGATATGATTTCAATTCCACGATGAATGTGTGTTTCAAAATACACGGTGACGTTAAAACGTCGCGCTCTTCGGCTACTAGCATCTGCGCGTCTGAGGGAGGTCATCTCATCAGAATCAATTCAAGTGCAAAGGATGAACTCATATTTGCCATTTGGACAAATGGAATTGGTAAGCATTCACATGAATTATTAAAAAAACAAGTAGATGTCTACTTTCTATTTTCCCGATATTTGCATGTTGTTGTTGCATTGAGAGAGAGGAATTATCTGTCAATATTTCACTTGTTGGTAGTCACTGTCATTATGTTTAAAATATATCTATATTATTACAAACGGCACAGCCATCAATTTACGAATCGCATAAGTATTTAATCGAAGTCCCACACCAGAACCTTAAACCATGAGACCTCCGCTGTATCCCAACATAAACTATTTATCAATACAATTGTACAGGGGAAACGCACATTCTATATATTTTGGTAGATAGCGTGGTAATACTACACGCTACCGATTGTATCTTTATTTACAACTTTTTTTAATTAATAGCGACACAATATGTTCTGTAATCATACGAAACCCCCACTATAAGGATCGATTGGGCGAATCTGACTGTATCTTCCACATATATGACTGTGGTTGTGAAAAACGAAAATCACGACAAAACAAGGAAACATTTGGTGAAACCCAATACAGAATTTGTATCCGAGAAGAATGTACGTCACTGATACCTCACAATTCCCCGTATTGGTGTGGAATGAAGTCGCCAACGGTTGCCCTAAGAGAACAGGAATCTCTCCAGACATGAGCGTTGTTGTTTTCAATAGCCGTAGTTTTGAGATACTGCATTGGTGAGTCTATGATCACTGCAGCTGTAATGTCACTCGCTCCATACTGAGATTACTGGGTTGTGATAAAATGTGAATATTTTTCAGATACTAATGTTTAGGTTTGTAGTCAACGTAACAATACGAGGTCAAAAATAAGTGACAGCAGCACTAAGCAACAGGCCCAAGAAATAATGTTAAGAACACTTTTGAATCTCTCCAACAAGGCCTGTCTCCGTTCTCGAAGCCAAAGTGGCCTCAGAAATCCGAACAAATCTCGGTGTTTCAAAAGATATCCAATCCGAACTTGGCAATTAGATTAGAAACAAGGCAGATCGAAAACGGTGCACCATATTTAGGAATATTATCTAGAGGTCAACAAAAAATATGTAGAAAGCTTCTTATTACTTGAGTACTGATACACTCTTGAAGATTTGAATAACACTTTTCAAACTTTTAGTGATATGCGTTTATTACTAAATACACTGATGTGACATACTGGCTATTTTTGCCTGAGGGGCCGTGGGGTAGCCTTGTGGTTAAAGTGTTTGCTCATTACGCCGAAAACCTGTGTTCGATTCCCCACATGGGCACAATGTGTGCAGCCCATTTCTGGTGAGCCCCGCCGTGATGTTGCTGGAATATTGCTAAAAGCGGCGTAAAACTAAACTCACTCACTATTTTTGCCTGAAATCTACCCATATATCGAGAAGTATAGCCATTCGTAATTAACTTGCAAGTAAGTAAAATAAGCATTTGATTTGAATCTCTTGTAGTTCTAAATTTTACACAAACTCTACAAACGAGAAATCCAGTTAAAGTAACAGTGGTGCAACCATTGACCTGGTACAGTGAAAGAAATAACGTCACAATGTTTAATTTTGGTGAAGTGTCAAGTCACCTATCATATGAACTAAGTCTTATATCTGGACGTCTATTATATTTACGAAAATCTGTATGACCTGAAAAGAGTGAACTGTGAGGATAGTAAGAGTTATTGGTAAAACAATTAAAGCATGCGATACACAAGTTGAACGTAGAACAACTGGAAAATATGGAAAAGACTTTGAGAGAAAGAGGAGGCCCTTATTCTTTGGGTTTGTGCATAACCAGCAATCTGACGAAACATGTATTTAAACTAGTTATTACTGTTTTACGCTAAACTAAATGACATCATTTACACATAATTTCAGTTCGTATCGATGGCATGTGTACAGAGGGTGAAGGCTGGAAGTACTCGACTGGTGACATTGCAACCTACTTCAGGTGGAAGAAAGGTCAACCTAATCGCGACTGCGGCGCGAGATGGGGAAAGTGTCTGGCCTCAGAATCGTCTGGTTTTCACGACATTTCATGTTCCTATTGGGGATATTCCTTCATATGCGAAGTTGACATGTAAAGCAGTCTAAAGTAGATGATTTGAATTTTCAGAATGATTAATTGTCTAGTTGTAAACTCTAATGATGTGAGTTTGAATCCGGACGTCTTTCATCCGTACGATATACTGTATGACCTGCAGAGAGGGGGTTGTCCATGGGTAAAAATATTATAGCATGTTATGCACAAGTTGTACAAATATGAAATTAGAAAATAATTTGAGAGAAAAAAGAGGCCCTTATATTTTGGTTATGTGCATGACCAGAAATCTGATAAAACAGTGATGTAAAATGGATTATTAGAATGTCACATTTGGTTTTAGAAGTTAAACTCAGTGACAATTTCAGTCCAAATCAATGACATGCTGGCATCGGTACGTTTTCTACTCCTTCACTACTGTTCTTTTTGGTGGTTTAAGCACTTTCATTGTACTGGATTCGTTTCCTACAAACAACACTTAGTTGTCTTCGAATGTTGGAAATTGTTTTCTACACAACCATTAGTATTGAAAGTAAGATGAATTATGTTTAAAATCAAGAAACAATTGTCATTTAGTCAACACATATACGTTAAGCACTTTAATTGACATACCAGTCTTCAAACTGCTCTTGTTTTGTGATGTGCTATGCAGCGATTGATCTAATTTTAGAAATGGATGTATTGTAAATAGATTTGAAAAATGGACATATTGTAATACAACTATGAAGGTAGTTTCATATTATATCTATTTAGGATTTATGATGTCTTCTAGACTAGTATGGTCTACAGCATGTAAGCCATTAGCACTTCACGCATCTAAAGCAATAATGCCTGTTTATAATTTGTTCAAGCAAAATGACCTTTTATCATTTAATGTAGCTACTTCTATTGTTGATAACAAGATTGCACCCATTTTATTATAGGGTTCTGAACATTTGGGTGTAAAATACCATGACTATAGAGAAAAATACAACCTTTTTATTTTAAGAAATACTTAGGTGTCGGTTAATATGCTTCCAACAGAGCGATTCTTGGCGTAACAGGTAGATATTATATTTTTATATCAACACAGTTAAGAGCAGTTAGCTTTTCGATAAGGTTAATAAGTATGGATGTTTATAGATACCCATATCGATGTTATTTTATGTTAAAACAATTATAAGACAAAATGTTATGGATGTCAACTCCTTCTTTATTGTATACACGTTTCTGGGCATCCATAACATTTTGGCTTGTACTTGAATACCAACATCTATATGCCTCTTACGAACCATAAAACAATTAGATGACAAAGGTAACAATAGCTTGGTGTCTGGTATTAGAAATATTCTTTTCATGTGTGGGTATTCTTATGTTTGGATATCACAGGATATCAGTGATAAAAGATGTTTAATTTTATTCTTAAACAAAGACTAATAGACATATTTTACCAAGATTGGCATTCTTATGTACATTCATCCAAATATCTTTCTCATTATGCTCTTGTAATATCGCTATTAGAGCCAGAAACATATTTAACTGTATTACATGACAAATCTTTGAGAATAGCTTTCTGTAAATTCAGGATCTCCTTGCATGATTTCAATGTAAACTCTGAGCGTAAATGTAACAATTTGAATCCAAGTGACCTTTTATGTGTAAAATGTAATAGTAACCAGATCGAAGATGATTTTCATGTGTTATTTGTGTGTAAATACTATCGACACCTGCAAAATAAATACCTTCCAAACTTATGTACAGGGTAAAAGGATCAATATTTCATGATAAATCTTCTAAATTCTAAGAATGAAGATGTTATTACCTCTGTTGCTCGTTGTCTGAAAAATGTGTTTATATGTAGATGTACAACGTGATAAGTATAAACAAATTGAAAATATGTAACAGTACTATGGGTCGTTTGGCCTAAAACACTGAATAAACTGTCTGTCTGATTGATCTAATTTCGAATATATTGGGTACAGTCGCAATAAGAGTTGGTGTCCACATACATTAAACGCCAAAAGATACGTTATGCTCCTACCTTTATAAATTATCAAAGATATGTTAGAAGGTATTAGTTAACAAATAATCACAGTTCTATGCAAATCACGAAAACAATGTCTCAAATGCATTTATATTTAGGTGAAATGCATCTTTCTCAGAAGAGTTAAATTGTCCTATTTTCGACCATGCCGAAATAAACCAGTGCTTTAGAAGACCAAAAGAAAGGCTGAAATAAAATTCTGCTTTGAGACAAAGATAAACCATACAAAGTCACCTTTTTTTCAACTGTTAAAGCAAGAAACAACTGTTGTAGAGTGTGTAAAATTGTAAACGAATCTTTCCTATGATACAGTCTTTTATAACATTTTTTTGCTGATTTGCATTAGTGAACATACAACGTGTCTTTGATATTGTGAAAAAGTGTTTAGGGACACCTAAAATTATCTTTGTTAACATTTTGGCTTGCAAAGTAACATTTTTCCATTTTCTGTTTGCACATAGCAATATCAATCGCCAAAACGTAGCAATATTCAAGCAGTATTTGCATCAATTTCACGTCTAGAAAGATTCTATAGGGTATAAAGAGAGCCTAGAATGCACAATATGATACACATGTACGAGAAATATGCCACGATTAACAGCTGAAGAGAGAACGAGCCACTGAGATGTTGCAGATGGTGATCGACATACAGCGCTCTTGCCAACGCCCTCGGATGCCTCCGTATCACGGTTATAAGACTTATTCAGTGACTGGGGTCACCGTTGACAGGCCAAGAAGTGGACGTCCACGCATCATAATGCAGCAGAAAGTTTCATCTTCACTTGAGGAGATTTTAAGAAATTTATTAAGGAAGGATGGTAACGTTTTCTGTTGGCGTTTAGTGTATATATTCATTCATATATTGATTGGAAAACATTACGTTATAAATATTTATGTTTGAAGTGTTATGGGGATGTGTTTTTGTTAATTATAATTATAATTAACTTGTAACTGTTATGGGTCACAAACGTTTGAAGCGCTGAATGTGGATTTGAAGTCGTATCTTGAACTTAGGCTATGTAGTTTCACCTGTTAAGAGTGGGCTGAGGAGTTGCCTCCCTTTGTTTTGCTTCCGGTCTTTTCGATAGGGTGCTGGAAGCTATGAAATGATCGTAGTGTGGCATGAGTTTTGCCAGAATTCTCTAGCACTGTATAATAGGTATATACGGGATGGTTGCTAAGATGTATAGATGTTTGTGTAATATAAATGCAACATGAAAACAGGCTATAGATCTCCAGCAACTGAATGTGGAGATTACAGACCACGAGGACTTCCGATGTTAGCGATTTTGCAATGTTTATCCATGAAATAATTAACACATTACATATTCCACAGTTAAAAAGCGTTAGACGTGAATTTATATTTGAATGACGAGGTCTTACATATTGTCTCATGAGGGCAATATTTTTAAAAAGTCCCTTTGTTTCAAACAGTTCTGTTACCAAAGATAGCGTATGCCTCTCTCACAAGACAATAGAGAATATGCTTAGATAACCAGTTAAATCGCCTGTGACCAATTCCACTTGTGAGTAACTTAACTCAAGCCTCTATTGAACGAGTATCCTTAACTAGGATGAGTGGGGTGGGGGGGGGGGTTGGGATTGGCCCTCCCCCTTAAATATGTTTGAAAGGGGATGTTTGTTTATAAACGTGATGAGCGTAGATATAGCTTAACCAAAATATCTATCTTCAGAGGTCGAAGACTATTTGTAAAACATGAACATAAATGTCATCTGAAGTTTACCGAGAAAAGAATATGTGAAATGCTTGGCTTCCTCATTCACAAACATCTATATAAAATGTGGCCCATGGGTGCAAACCATTTAGACAAGAAGAATGCATCTTCATCAGCACCAGTTGTGCTCTTCTTCTTGACGATCTGTTTCTTTATGCATATGAATCACAATGTCATCATACGCATGTGATATACCCTAGATTGTATGATGGATTCTTTTTGAGATTTCTTGTGTTACTGTAGTAAGTTTTTTTGTGTCTTTTATTAGCACAATGTGTCAACACAAGGTATACGTGATGCCTTTTCCTGGTAATATTGCTGGCAGTATTTGCTTTAAAAAAACCCCTGAGTACTTTAATCTACTCTTTCTTAGAGTTACACAACCCACACGTTCTCGCGAACTTTAAACCCCACTGTTTTAATTAAACACGAGTGTGCTAGCTTGTTATAATTGTTACAATTGCTTTACGTAGTTTGAAAGCACAAAATAAAAGCCTTCTGTCAATGTGGAATCGTTAGAATCACAGCCAGTAGAACTTTATCTTGACTGAATAAGTAACATATAGCGTTAGTGCCTGGTGTCAGCACGATTTACGATTCATGGTTCCATGCTCTTGATTCGGTCGGAATTGACAAATTTAGCCTGGTTTTGGCAGAGTTTTCTAAAGACAATTGAAATGGTTTTGTCGCCTTATTGATACGAATGGATTATCGATTAGTGCATGTTCATGTGTCTTCGTATGTGTTTACTTTTTATTGCTTATACATATTAATTTTCAACTCTACACACATGTTATCTGATAACGTATAACTTATTAACATACAAAATACGTTTATGATGTTACATGATATTAAGTCCTTCCTCTTTAGTGATTTAATGTCAGTATTCTTGATGGATCAACAGTTATGGTGTGATGACTCCTTTGTACATCTTGTTTGATGAAGAATTTATGAACTCATTGTTGATGCTACCGATTCAAGTGGTGATCCACTCATTAACATCACATCGCTTCATTGCTACTCGAAGAAGTTCAGTGGAATGTATCTATGTTTCTTTTTAACCCAACATAATGACATGTTTTGAATTATTGAGGAAGTGGAACAAATTATAATCATTGCTTGTGGCACACATCTACAGATAATTATGAAATGTCCTTGCCAAAATCAATACGACACAGTAATGAAGGCATCTATTATGGCTTAACAAATACATGACAATTCAATTACTTGACAGTTTAATGTGACAAATGAACGGAATGAAGGATTTCGATTCAATCAGAATGTAATTCTTGTACGTACACCTTCTTCGCCACACGTATCGGATAAGCTGTTCGTCAGTTTGGAAGTAATATTACTGAGATACACTCGAATGTACTTGCACATGAAAGAGTCTGTAGAAATGTAACATATACGTGATTATATGGCGTGAGATAGTGCCTTTATACAGAGGTAGTATTCTGACTTTGCATGTTTCCCTGTATGAGTCATACCAATCTTGACAAACACTTGACTGTTCAATTAACTGAAATTTTAATGTGACGAATGATGGGTTTGAAAGCGTATTTTGACTCAAACAGAATGTAATTCTTGTATGTAAACATTCTTCACCACACGTTTCGGAATAGCTGTTCATAAGTTTGTAAGTAAGTTGCACATAACTAAGTGTATATTTATGAAGCATGACAGGTTGTATAGCGTTAGATACTGCTATTATAAAGGGGTTGTAAGCGCACTTTGTATGTTCTGCTGTGTCAGTCATACCCACCTTGTTTGAAATATGTAAGTCGATCAGCTTGAAGTACAGAAAGTGCCTGTTTCAAAGATTAGTTTAAGAAGAACTGTCTGCTTGTCTGTCTGTCTGTCTGTCTATGCTTGTTTTGGTTTTGATGAAACTAAATCGAGTAAAATATTTTTCAAAATAATTTTGTCCAAGCTGTTTCAACATGGTTTGTTAACATTAGCTTTGCGTTTATTGTTAAAGAAAGCTGCTTCATGAAAAAGGCTGACTGGAGGCAGTTTAACTCAGATCAGTTTCTCGATTGGGGTTAACGCGTTATAGCAGGTTCAGTATGGACGGCTAAAAGAACAGGTAATTCCAGATTCACAACCAAGTCCTTTGTTTTTTAATATAAGATAAAATTATTGAAAAGATCGCCACTTTATAATAGGAATTATGCCTGAATCCCTACAGCATGACAGCTCAGTATTCAGTTAGAAGGGGATGGTTTTGGAAAATGCATAAACGTATGTCAGTTAACATTAAACTACATTAAACGACGTTGACATCTAACATAACTAACTAACAGGCGGATACAAGGAAATAACCAACTTAAATTAGTTGTTATGTAGAATATTTATATGTAAGTGTACACTAATTATCAGAATTGAATATATCAAATATATTTTCCCTTTGAACATAGACTTCAGAAATTATTTGGTCGTAACAATTCATATTCGATTCGTTTATTACCGATAATTGGTACAATATCATCGGTATTGGCACAGGTTTGCAGACATGGTGACAATGGAATAAATATAGAGGAGGATGTACAATTACAGGTACAATTCCTGTTTCGCAGACACACAGACAGACAGACATATCTTTTTATTTAAGTCTCACCTCGATACGTATTAACATTGATTATATAGAATATAGAATTTAAATATATCGAGCCACCCACCATGGGATTATGAGAGACTACATTGCAGATAAAAAAACATAGGCAAAAATATTAAAACATTGAAACCTTTATACAATAGGTGAAAAAATCATCAGGTGTATAAGATAGTGGAACGCTTGGATAAAATAGCTTTGCAGATTTTGGCAGCAGTGTGTAAAATGTCCGGATGTGAGAGTATAAGACCTACTTTATCAGTATCATAGAGATGGGTAAAATCTACAAACTTGGCTGCAGAGGTCTACAAGCTCCTTTCTCTCATGGTGGTCTTGGGGACACTTAATCAAAGCATGGATCTCATCTTCTGTTTGGTCATCGCAGAATGGGCATGATCTCACGTTCAAAGGAGTCACTGTAACGCCCAATTTCCACTCTTAAAGGGGCATTTCCACTTCTGAACAGTGCTAGGGCTCTTCTAAACGATCTCTTCAAAAATCTAAAAACGTATATTTCGAACCCAAACTCGTTTCTGAAGGTACTGTACAGTCTAAGTTTGCCCAGTCCCCGTGTCTTTCACGGTCGAGGGACCACCTGGCAGCTAGACGTCGTGATTAAGATTGTTGGTG